AACCATTCTCTAATCTCCTCTTCTATCTTCTCTTTTACCTTTAGCATGTTTAGAGCGATATATTTTCTGATGGTGAGTAAATGTTTGTCCAAGTTTTTTGCAGCAGTTCAATTACATATTTCATGTCTGGTTTTACAGTAGTTTCAGTAAATTGTCAGCGTCTGCATGATTTTAAAAAGAGAAAGGACGTACTCCAATATTATAAGCAATTTCAATGCAATATTTTGTGTCTACAAGACACTCATTTTACAGGTGATATGGAGAATGATATTAGAAATGAATGGGGATATGAAGCATATTTTAATTCATTTTCGTCAAAGTCAAGAGGTGTAGCTATATTTTTTAATAATAATTTTGAACACAAGGTTCATAATAAAATATCTGATGATGCAGGGAATCTTTTGGCTTTAGATTTAACAATTGAAAACAAGCGTCTGAGTTTAATTACAATTTATGGACCAAATGAGGATACACCCTCATTTTATGAAAGACTATCAGATATTATAAAGGATTTATCAAATGAAGATGTTATTTTGGTTGGAGATTTTAATCTAGTTTTAGACCCAGAAAAAGATTATTTTAATTATCTTCATATTAACAATCCAAAGGTAAGAAGCAAAGTTCTAGAAATCATCTCTGATTATGATTTCAGTGATATTTTCAGAGAAATGCATCCTGATGAAACAAGATATACTTGGCGTTCAACTTGTAAACAAGCAAGATTAGATTTCTTTCTCATATCAAATTCTTATTTAAATAGTGTTGAAGAAAGTAAAATTCTGAATAGTTATAAATCCGATCACTCGCCAATATATCTAAAGATTAAGTTAAATGAGTTTACTCATGGAAAAGGTTTGTGGAAATTAAATAACTCACTTCTTAAAGATATTAAATATATTGAAACAATCAATAAAGTTATTCAGGAAACAAAGGCAATTATGCATTACCTATCTATTTTAAAGAATATGTCAACAAAATATCAGATGAAGAAATTCAATTTAATGTAGATGAACAGCTTTTCCTTGAAACACTCTTATTGAAAATTAGAGGCAAGACCATTTCTTTTTCCAGTTATGTAAAGAAAAAAAGCAATGAGAAAGAAAATCAGTTAATTTCTGAAATTGAAATTTTGGAAAAAGACTACAATAAAAATATACAAACAATAAATGATGAAAAAAAAAGGAATTGGAAAATATAAGAGACCATAAACTTATGGGAAATATCATAAGGTCTAGAGTAAAATGGATGAATGAAGGAGAAAAACCTACTAATTACTTTCTAAACCTTGAGAACAGACATTATACAAATAAAATAATCCCTAAATTGATTAAAGATGAATCAATAGATTCTGAAATAACAAATCAGAAAGATATTCTTTTTGAAATTGAAAAATATTATAAAACACTTTATGAGGCTAATTCGGAGATGACAGATATTGATCTAAGTGATCATACTTGGGATATTGCTGCAGAAAAACTTAGTGATACCCAAAAGAATATTCTTGAGGGGGAGATAACTTTAAATGGAGCTTTACTAGTTTTGAAAAATATGTCAAATAATAAAAGTCCTGGAAGCGATGGTTTTACAACAGAATTCTTCAAAGTTTTCTGGAAACAGCTGGGAAATTTCATAGTAAGATCAATAAATTATGCTTACAAAAAAGGAGAGCTTTCTGTAACACAAAAACAGGGAAAAATCACTTGTATATCTAAAGAAGGAAAAAGTAATTTTTTTATAAAAAATTGGCGCCCAATATCTTTATTAAACGTTGTATATAAAATAGCTTCTGGCTGTATAGCAAGTCGAATGAAAAATATCTTGAATACAATTATAATTCAGACCAGACAGGTTTTGTAACTGGAAGATACATAGGAGAAAATACCAGTTTAATTTATGATCTAATGCACTATACAGAAGAAAGAAATATCCCTGGAATGTTGTTAATGATTGATTTTGAAAAAGCATTTGACACAGTGTCGTGGAATTTTATTGATAAAGCCCTAAAATTCTTTAATTTTGGTTCTTTTCAAAGAAGATGGGTTTCATTATTTCAATGTAATATTGTATCAGCAATCAATCAAGCAGGCCACCTATCTAAATTCTTTAAACTAGGCCGTGGTTGCCGCCAGGGTGATCCAATTTCTCCATATATATTTTTACTATGTGCAGAAATATTAGCTTTAAAAATAAAAAAAATAATAAAAGTATTAAAGGGATTAAAATTGATGGGGAAGAATACCTAATGTCTCAATATGCGGATGACACACTAGTTATACTAGATGGAACAGAAAAATCCCTAAGAAATTGCATTGAAGAAATAGACAAATTTTATAAATTATCAGGATTAAAATTAATCTCTCTAAAACACAAATAGTCTGGATAGGAACAAAATATATTCAAATGAAAAACTTCTATATGAAATGAACTTTCAATTGACAACACAATTTAAAGTACTAGGTTTTTATTTTGATGTTGACTTAACTAGAGTTCCAAAACTCAACTATGACAAAACATTGGTCAAAATTAAGAATATAATACTACAGTGGAGTAAAAGACGTACTACCCCTTTGGGTAGGATTTCACTGATAAAATCACTATTAATAGCACAGTTAAACCATCTTTTTATTGCTTTACTTTCACCTTCTGAAAATTTTGTTAAAAATCTAAATAGTGTTCTATTTAATTTTCTTTGGAGATCAAAAGTGGACAAGATAAAAAGAAAACAAATTACTCAAGATTACAAGAGTGGAGGATTGAATATGATTGACTTAAATAACTACATTAAGAGTTTAAAATCATCTTGGATTAAAAAACTACTCAATGGCCAGGATTCTAAATGGAGATCACTCTTTCAAAAAGCTTTTAATATCAAAAAGCTATTTAATATTGGTTCAAATTATATTGAAATAATATTACAAAGTATAAATTATGATTTTTGGAAAGATATTTTAATTGCTTTCAAAAATATAGAAGACAAAATGAAAATAGAGTCATGGGAGGATTTTATCTCTCAATCATTATGGTACAATAAAAAACTTAAAATTGACAATAAGCCCATTTTTTACTCCAAATGGTTTAGGAATGATGTAATTTTTATCTCAGATTTGTTAGACGAAACAGGATCTTTTTTAGAATTAGATGATCTTAAAGCAAAATTTAATATAGAAACCAACTTTTTGACATATGCAATTTTACAGAAAGCAGTAAAAGAAGCGATGGCTGTAGAAAAAGTAAACAAAGAAAGATTAAACCCAAGGCCGATTCTACCTTTTCATTTAAAATTATTTTGTCTATGTAGAAAAGGAACAAAAGCTATGTATAAAATTTTGAATACAGAACACATAGTACCTTTTTCAAAAGTAAAATGGAGTAAACATTTTGAAATTCAAGATTCCCTATGGGAAATGATATATAATATTCCTTTTCAATGTACAAAAAGTTCTAAATTACAATGGCTACAATTCAGAATAAATCAGCATATCTTGGTTACAAATAAAACGTTATATAAAATAGGTTTGAAGGATACTAAACTTTGTAGCTTCTGTGAGACATGTGAGGAAACAATTTTTCATATTATGTGGGAATGCCAGAAGGTTCAGGAGCTTTTACATAGTTTTACAATTCTCTGTGAAGCCCATGGTATAGAGTTTCCAAAAGATAGTGGTAATTTCATATTTGGAAATCCAAAACCCAACAATGGTGAATTAAATACAATATTTTTTTTTTGTATTAAAGCATTTATGTATAGAAATTAGTGTCGAAATGAGGTTTTGAGATTACAAGCATTACGTGGAGATATTAAAACATTACTATCTACGATGAAATAAAGTGCAACAAAGAATAATCAAATTAATGAATTTAACACTAAATGGAAAGATTGGCTTTCACTCATGTAAGACCCTGATACCAGACACCTAAAGACCTTTTGCAATGCTTGGACATACATCTGCCACTACTTTATTCTTATGAACCTGCTCTTCTTTCACCATTTCTCAATCCCCTCTTTCTTTCTCTCTTCCTTTCTTTCTCTTTCCCCTATTCTTTTGTCTCTATTATATTTTTTGTATTTGTTTATTATATGTATTAATGATGTATTGATGTAAACAAGATATTGTAAATATTTTTAATACGATGATGTGACAATTGATATTAATAATATATATATATATATATATATATATATATATATATATATATATATATATATATATATATATATATATATATAATTTGTCGTGGAAAAGGGGCCCCAGATAGCAGCTATGTCACATCATCCTTTATACGACCTGAAGCATTTTCACCACCTTTCACAACAAATGATGCGGAATACATGTACACTTACATACAACATGAAAATAAGCAAATGAAAATCATGTTAAAGAGAAAGGAGAATAATACTAATTTGGATTAATATTTAAACAAGTTTAATTTTACAACATTTTAAACGAAATCGGGGGAGAGAAACAGACTGATACTTTGACTGACATTTTGATTTGCAAAATACATAAAAATAAGGCCCTATACTAATTAAAAATAAAGATTGCCATTGGCGTCAAAACAAGGGGGGTAGCTTTTTTTTAAAAAACAATAGACATCATATAGATAATAAAAATTGAGACGTAGGTATATACCCCCCCAACATGCACACTTTCAACATACACGATGCAGTGTAGTTAAAGTTGAAGAAGGGTGAGTCGTAGTGTTTGAAAGTAAAAAATGGTCATGAAAGAACTTCCATCTCCCCAAACCATAATCCTCTTCTTTATTTTATTTTAAGCAGAAAAATTAACACCCGTCATTTTTAAATTTATGTCTAAACAAAGTTCCAGGTATAGATTTAGGCAAACTTTATTCAGAATTCTTAACAGATTGGGCAACAGGCAAACTGTCTATAAATCATTTTTCTATACATGGTCACGGGTAAAAAATAGAATAAACTGAATTCACAGAAATAACTAAAAAACAAATTTTATTTTTTCTAGAAAATCAAACTTTCTTACTTGGTTTTCTATAGGTTTTGTTGTCGATGATATAAAGATCCCAGTGTGAATGGAGACCTATACAGGATCTCACGATATCAGGTCTCGCCCAAGCCTTGCTTCTCCAGAGCCACGTCACGTGATCTACACTGTCCTGTGATCTTCCTCTGTAATGTACAGTCTCCCCTTCTCTTCTTAGTTCCGTTAGAAATTTTTCTCGTTCATCTTTACTGCTCTTGATTTTATTTTCTGGGATATTTACTGTAGAAAAAATATATACTGTTTATAATAAACATTTACACTGTAATACCATTATGAAAATATACATGTAAAGGTAGAGATACATTCAAATTATAGATTTATTACACATATTCGATCAGTTACTTCTATTATAATATGTTAATCTTGTAGCATTAAATTGTAATCGATGAAGCTACTACAACATGTACAATGCAACTACAAAAAAAAAGAAAAAAGAAAGTGATTTATTATAAATGTATAAATGTTTCTACAGATAACTTAACTCTTTAAAATGGAATCCAATTATTTAAAGAAAATTCTGGAAGAAAAAATAAAACAATTTACAATTATTATACTTTGACTTACATATCTGCTGTATCTCATCATAGATATTTGTATCCTTCATGGTGACGTGAGTCAGTATGTTCATCTGTAGACGGAGAATCAGTAAGGAATCTAAGCCACTCACTACTGACACACTTCTCTCCAGGTTCTCTGTTGTATCTCTCTGATCTCAGGTACACACAGGCTGTGTCATAACTACTGTACCAGAATGGTATATCTCCGTTTATTGATGCTATCCTATACATTGTCTCATCCTTTGTGTCCTCCGTTATCTTTTCCTGATCTTCCCAAAGGTAATCACGTGACTTCAGTCTGTCCAGAGTGTGCTGTGCTTCCTCACGTGTTACAGGATTCTCTTTAGCGTACACTTTCTGTCGTATCACATTAAGCAAGTCCAGCCACTCTTTGTCAGTGAAGTCAGGAGGACCGGAGTCAGAACACAGAAAACAGAATAACACGGACACCTTGTCATCAGTCAGTGTGGAGAACTTATCTAAAATACAAAATTAATGTATTTCGAGTAACTACTAATACATGCAGCATTTCACACATAAGTATCAGATAAATATTATATTATAGCCTACTTGGTAATGGTGCATTGTAGTTATTGTTCTCAATTCATAGTATTCCCTGTGTGTTTTACTTATGAAGGTATTTTTGAAACAAATACATGTACATGTACATTTATTGCAACATAATTATAGCTTTGTTAGTAATGTACAGACTAGTTAAAATAAAGGTGATCTCTTTGTAAAAAATATAGTTTATATGTCTTTAGTTCTTATCCAACAAACGGTTATAAACAGTGTACAAATATGTACATTTTATGCTGCATAATACATGTACCATACAGACAAAATACGAGAAAGCAGATAAATAACTGAGAAATTCCCTCGCAGAATTAGCCCCCTCCCTCTTTCTCTCTCTCTCTCTCTAAATTCCGGAGATATGGTTTTGTTAAATTATATTAATAAACTACTTTTATTAATAATTTCCCAAAAATTGAAAAGCAATAACATATGAATCAGTTAAATCCAATGTAAATCTTTCCTATAGGGCTTTCAAGTATACCTACATTTGTAAGCTACATTCACAGGTACTTGTGGGCAGGACACCCCAACCCCCTAAATATTCCACCCCGGGGCTTGTTGAACATTTTTGTTCACAAATTATATTACTTACACTTATTCATCATAAGTTCCATAGAAAAAAATCGTTAAAACCCTAAAATAATCGATCCACAAAACAAATACCCACTATACATTATAAGACAGCTCTCTCTTATACTGTATTGTGGGCATTTTTTTTTTTTTTTTTGTGGAGCGATTATTTTTGGGTTTTAATGATTTTTTTCTATTGTACTCATGATGATTAAGTGTTATGAATATAATTTGTGAAAAAGATGTCCAACAAGCCCCGGGTGGAATATTAAGAGGGGGGGGGGGGTTCTGTCCACAAGTACCTGTGGCTACATTGTTATCAGTCCTAATTGATGCCGGATATATTAATTCCCCACACCTGGAACAGAAGGGGCTATAGATTTCCACTGAGTCCGACCGCCTGCCCCTTTGTCTGTCTCTCTGTCAGTCAGTCAGTCTGACCTTTTTGGCAATCTTTACTTTTTGTCTAAACATTTGTAGATAGTCCGATGTTTTGGTATCTCAATGAAAAACCTAAAACGTGCGTCTACGTGTATACCACTTGCATTGTACGGTATGTTTTGTTTCATGCAACGGTTTATTCATTTTGTGAACGGTTTTTGTGCTCGGTATACAAATTAAATATGCGGTGCATATACGCAGTTGTACGATTGACAACTTAACAAAGTCGTTTCTTTCTTTTTTGTCCCCCGCTTTCGCGAAAGCGAGGGGACATTAAGTCTCATTCGTCTGACCGCCGGTCTGTCTGTCTGTCTAGCTCTCCGACCGTCACAAATACGTTAACCTAGTCTATTACTTTTGATTGAGTGGAACTATGACTTTTATATTTTACATGTAAATTCCATGTGATAAGACCACCAAATTTGACCTATTGACCTTGGAGTTTGACCCACTTTTGCACGAAAATTCCAAACTTTTGATTCAGCCATAACTTTTGAATGGTAAATACTAGGACTATCATATTTCACATATTTAATTTTTGTGACAGGTCCTTTCGTTTTGTGAATTTTATGGCCCCAGGGTCAGGGAGGTTAGGGCGGGACTTTTTTTTATCATAAAGTGATAATGCATTAAATCTTTGAAAATCTTCTTCTCTACTTCTGGGTATTTAATAAACTATGTAAGTACATCTATTAGTCATGTTGAGCAAGAGTGTCTCTTCCAGAACTGTGAATTTTATGGCCCCAGGGTCAGGAGTTCTGGTGTTAGGGCGGGGCTCTATTTACCTTATAGTGAAAATGCATTAATTCTTTGCAAATCTTTTCCTCTGCTCCTGGGTATTAAATAAACTAAGCAAACTAAGTACGTTGTACATAGTTACGATAAGCAAGAGTGCCTCTTCCAAAATTGTTAATTTTATCCTTCCAGGGTCAGTGGTTCTGGTGTTAGGACGGGACTCTCTTGTTTATATAGTGAAACTACTTTAAATTAATTCTTTGATTTTGGCTTTGTTCCTGTGTCTTATGACAATGATCCAAGTTTATGTATTTATAATGAAGAATGATGCATCGAGTAAAATGGTTATTTTTATGCCCCCCCCCCCCCCCTGGGTTGGGAGGTGGGGGGGGGTTACATAGTCTGAAAATAAATTAATGCCCTGAAACATGCTCTTTGGTTTTAATCAACCATTTTACGATAATTTTTGCAAAATTTTGAAATATATATGGCCCTAAGGTCAGTGGTTCCTTTGGGATGAGGTGCACAACTGGTTACATATATAAAGTGTAAGTGCATTTTCTCTTTGTTAATCTGATCTACCTCTGAGTATTAAGTAAATAGAGTAAGCATGCTGAGTCTATATATCTGATAAGCAATAGTGCAATGCCTCTTTCACAATTGTGAATTGCGAATTTCATGGCATCTGGTTTAAAACACAAAGTACATTTAATTGTTTGAAAGTTGTTACACAATGCCCAGGTGACCTATAAGGCCCGTGGGCCTCTTTTCATTTAAAAAACTCTCTGCTTTTATTCCGTCCACGTTAGTTGTCGCAGTAAATTCCAAAACTTTCCTTAATTTTTTTTTCTTTTTCTTTTCTTTTTTTTATTTGGGGGGGGGGGGGGGTTGACCTCGGAGCGTTTAACGTTTTTTTTTGGAACGGTACGGTACGGTTCCTGCACGGGACGGTTCGTTTCGTTTCTGAGATGTAGTACCACGTTTAATGGTGAATGGTCTGTATCTTGATGAGTTACAGATCGAATTTGAATTTCGTTCTACTTCAATGATTCTCAAGAAAAATACGTCTGTTTTAATTTGACACAGTTTTTGCATTTTTTCCTAAATGTTTGCAGATATTGACCTAAATTTTGCTATATTAATGTATCTTGATTTTTTACAGATGAAGTAAAAAACTGTTTTAGTCCGATTCAATAATTAATATAGGGGAATACGGTCATTTTATTATTTTTTTTTTTAAATAGGAACTCGATTAAACCTTTCAGTAGGGCACTAGTTCATAATCTCGGAGTGCTTTAAATTACATTTTTTTTTTTTATGAAAGCGGTTAGATTTTCATAAACCAAAAAAAAAACTTAAATACATTTTATCGATGATAAATTATAATTTTTCCGAAGAACATTAAATAAATAAGAGGCTCATGGGCCACATCGCTCACCTGAGCAATGTGGCTAATGGACGGGACTATGAATTGAAGAAACTTGAATACTTGAATCTACAATAACAAAGATATTTGCATATTTCTTTGACTAACTATGGATTTTTACCCTTTAAATCGGTGACCCCATTCCCCGACCGTTATGATGGGAAGAAGATGAAATCTAAATTACCTGAGGATGCTTTAAGTTAAAAATGATTAATCATGGCATTGTTGTGTCCATCTTTTTTTTTTTAAATAATATTTTCCTGAATATTACAATGTAAAACTTTGATCGTCCCTCGTGCATGTTCTGCCCTATAGCCCCCAGAGTTACAATTTGAACAAACTTGAATCTACACTTCCTGAGGATGATTTCATTAAAGTATGACCAATTATGACTTTGCTGTTCTTGAGAAGAATTTTTTAAAAAAGATTTTCCTTTATATTTCTATGTATATCTTTAATGGTCCTCGTGGTCTCATGCTACCCCCGGGGTCATGATTTGAACAAAGTTCAATCTACACTACCTGAGCGTGCTCTCATATAAATATGATCAATCACGACTTTGCTGTTCTTTAGATTTTTCTATATACATGCATCTCTATGTAAATCTTTGATAAATCATTGTGGCCGCACCCTACCCCCAGAGATCATGTTGTGAACAAAATTGAATCTACACTACCCGAGGATGCTTCAAAATAAATATGATAAATCATGGCTTTGATGTTCTTGAAGATATTTTTTAAAGATTTTTCATTTATATTTCTATGTTAAACTTTGATCGTCCATTCTGGCCCCGCCCTACCCCCGGGTGCATGTTTTGAACAAACTTGAATCTACACTGCCTGGGGATGCTCTCATATAAATATAACCAACCGTTGCTTTGCTGTTCTTGAGAAGAAGATTTTTAAAGATGTTTCCTATAGACACTGTATATCTAATCGATGACTGCCCAGAATTCCGACAGCCCGATAGTCCGACAGGCCAGTAGTCCAACAGCCCGATAATTTGTTGTCATATATAACTAATTCCTACAGCAGAAAGCGGAAAGAATTACATTTACCCCTGTCTGTGCATGGTTGGTATAGAAAGTTAAGTATGAAGCATTATCACCCTAATGAATTAGGTTTTATTTTGGTTTTTTTATGCCCCAATAATCAAAGTATCGGGGATATGTAGCTTTTTAATATTTTTTGTTATACCCACATAAATAGCTTTCTATATATATATTTATCACTAATAAAAAGGCTTACAAAAGAAATGTTTATCACATCGGTCTAACAATTTCACTGTTGACTGGCCTGCCGAAAAAACGAATTGTTAGACAGCAACGTCAGTGCTACGTCACAAGTAATTAATAATCGTTTAATATTGGCGACACGGAAATAGCCCAAGGTAATAGCTGCAAAAGTTGTTGCTACCAGCAAGGTAATGAAGAAGGGAAGAGTATCTGTTGAGATAAATAATGTTTGTGATATAATAAAAATATTAAATTAATTTTGTTTTTTCTCAGCTATTGTTTATATTAACTGATTAAGCCATAATTTTTCATATAAATTAATTGTCATACCTTTAGAAATTTGTTTCTATGCAAATCTATACGGTAAAAAGTCATACATTTAATTTCTTACGTTTTGCTGAGCAGGCATAAAAATGTTTGACCGCTGAATGAAATGTTGGACCGGTCGATGAGATGTTGGACCGCTTACGTCACAGAATGGGCGGAGATTAATCTCATTTTCATTCGTTGGCGTTCAAAAGTGACGAAGATGATGTTACACAACGTGCACGGAAGAAAACTTACAAAAAACATGTATGTCCAAAAAAAAATTAAATAAAAGATACAACAAAGCATTTATTGACTGTATTCTCGGGCATAATGAGTTTTGTCGACCCTCGAACCAAAATGTCTACCTTCGGCCTGACGACCTAGCTCAGGCACACAGCTTGGTTCTTTTGTCCGACAAAACGCATGCTGCCCTCTAACTCAGTCAATAAATTTATATTATTCTTCAGAAAATTTGACTTTTTTGGTCGCCTTTTTTAAAAATAATGCTACGTACGTCCCTGGTTATTTCTACAGACGAATCGCTTCTTTTATATCTTTGAATTGATTTTAATTGTTTGATTTACAGAAAAGTCCTATCTTTATAAGTCGTTTTAAATGAGTAGAATTTTTTATTTTAATTTGATTACTTTTATATATGAAACATTCAATTATAATTATTATAAAAATTAGAAAGCAAATTAAAGTATTCGTTTTCTTTAAGTGCATAATTTCTTACAGTTTTCTGTTGAAACAGCCCCCCCCCCCCCCCCCCTCCCCGGAGACTGTAATGTTCAAAACGCTATTTTTTGGCAGGTTACAGTTTACAAATAGATGGAAGACAGACAAATCACACACACACACAGTACACACACACACACACACACACACACACACACACACACACACACCCTTATGGGCTCAATCTTTCGACCCGGGGGAAGGAAAAATGAATTTTTGTTTCAACCCTTACACTACGTGTTACACTTTTACTTTGGTCGATTTTTGCCGTTTTTTGTAATTTCCTTGAAATATTTTCTAAAAGGAATAATTTTAACTCTATTAAAAATATTGGTGATGGTCAAAATGTCTGACTACTGGGCTCTCGGATAATTGGACCGTCGGACTACTGGGCTGTCGGACTATCGGACAGTCGGACTACTGGTCTGTCGGACTATTGGACCGTCGGACTACTGGGCTGTCGGACTATCGGACCGTCGGAATACTAGGCTTGTTCTATGTATCTCTATGTAAAACTCTGATGAACCCTTGTGGTCCCGCCCTAACCCTTGGGGTGAATGATTTGAACTAACTTGAATGTACACTATTTAAGGACTATTCCCCTGCGTAAGTTGCTTCATTCCTTGCTCATTGGTTCTTGAGAAGCAGACTTTTAAAACATTCCCCCAAATGTTCACTATTTATCAATTATCACAACTAGAATTGGGGCGTGGCCCTTCAATTGAAAAAAAGACTTGAATCCCCTTTACCCAAGGATGCTTTGTGGCAAGTTTGATTAAAATTGGCTGAGTGGTTCTGGAGCAGAAGTTGAAAATGAAAAAAAAAATACAAACGGACAGACAGACTACAGACAAAATGTGATCAGAAAAGCTCACTTTCGCTTTCAGCTCAAGTGAGATAAAAAGCATGAAAAACTTAAAAATCGTAAGTTATTAATTTTTGAATATTACTTTTACCTACCATGCCTACCGGACAGACCTGTCTTCCAAAGATTGTAATGACCAACGTCTGAAGAAAAAATAAAAAAAGTATTAAAATAATTAAAACAGACATCAGTTCAAAAGTTTAGCTTCATGATTAATTTAAACTACTAGTATATTTGCATATTATTAGAAGATACATGTATCTATATTTTGTGATTTGATAATCTCTTTATCCAACAAGTTGACACAGATATATTTTCACCCCCCCCCCCCCCCCCCCACTGATCTTAAAACTGAAGGGTAAACGAACAGTGAAAGCAAGATGAACGATTTATTTGGAATGTCTCTCCCTTGCATTGTATTCTATTCTATTTCATTACCAGGTGTAGAAAACATTAATTCATTACCTATATGAATTAATTATAGAATGCCGACATAATCAAAAGATGTATTTTTTTTGGGGGGGGGGGGGGGTTGCACCCTTTGTTTTTTAAACATTTACCTCCGTTATTGAAAACAACAATTGTTGTATTTGTATCTTTTGCAACAATTGATTGTTTTAGCCAATGAATTAAAATATTGTCTGGTTCAATATTAGTACCAAATTGTGTAAAACCATAGAAATCTCCTCTAGTTATAATTATTTACATGAATTAATTTAATGTCATTCACTCGAATTTCTTGTTTACTTTTGAAGCTGGTCTCTGGATTACGATTAACTAATGCTACCTTGCTATTGACGCGAGTCTATCTGGTATAATGTAATCCTTCTTCTGGATCTCGATCTACTTTAATGTAATGATTAGTATATGTGCTAATTTGAAAATCTACTATCTATTCTACTCAAATATAAAAGTCTGTCTTTGTATTTTAAATAGTATCCTCCATTTAAAAACCTAAAATGAGTGCATAAATAAAGGAGTAATTGTTCCCAATATCTTACATTGTCAAGAATAAGTGCTTCCACTGTTTGCTTTATTAACTCACCGCTATAAACAGAATCACAACTGACATTCTCCTCTGTATCACTGGGGAACCCCTCCTCTTCTTCTTCAGTACTTAAACCATCTTCTGTGACACCATTCTCTGTCTCGTCTTGTTTATTATCGACACCAGTCTCTGCGACAATATACTCTCTTTCTTTTTGTTCACTATTAACACGAGTTTCAGTGATTTCATGCTCACTTCTCTCTAGTTCACTATTTACATCAGACTTTTGGACACCATGCTTTCTCTTGCCCATCTCAGTATGTATCTCTGTCTCTTGGATAAAAAGAATCTTCTTCTTCGGTTCTGTTTTGACACGGATCTCAGCAATATCTTTGTCTCTCTCCTTTGACTTAATATTAGCTAAAGCATCTTTGAAACTCTCAGAGTCACTAAGGAAATGGACATCGGTGACATCATTGACGTTTTCCTGCTGTTCCAGCTCTACGGATAGTGTTTCTTGCAAATTCTTCGTATCTTAATAAATAAAGCAAATACCGTTTCTTTTAATTGATATTTCTAAAAATAATATTCTTTAATTTTTCTTTTAAAAAATTGTAAACTTATATTTTTACGTATAATATAGTCTTAGGGGATATTATTTCGATATCACTAATATCTTTTCAGCTTCAAGGATTAATATCTTTAATGTTTTTCTAAATAAAATTATTTCTAAAAAATCAATACCATCAGAAGGATTTGTATGTGTCAGCAAAGGTTGCTCATCTTCTGGTACTCCAGCATCTTTTGACGCACTAGCTACTGATAAAAAATATTCTACTTGTTATACCTAGTTTACATCGTTTACAAAAAAAAAGTTTCACTCTGTTATATTTTAAGTATTGGGTTAAATCTTTTACAATCTAAGCAGTGATGGATGTTATAAATGAATAGCTTTTTTAAATACATATAGATATATCTTAAAAATATTTAAAAATAAATGAATAGATACCTTTCAGAAAAAAAATCATCCAAACGTAAAATAGAAATACAAAAATTTTATAGGATTTCATTATTCTTTTGTTTAATATTCTTAGACACAATCATGTTCCTATTTTGTATTTAATGATTTTCATTTTTATAACAATTCATTTATTTCTGTTCTTTGATTGGCTGAGATCCAACACCGGACCACTGTTTATCCATTTATTTTTTTCCAAAAACTTAACATTCTTTTTTGAATTTTATCCTCAGCAAATGTTAACAATATTATATGGATTTTCTAAATACATTTGTTATCATTTGATTACTAGTATTGAGTCAAGTCGAGTAATATATTGCTTTTTACGATAGATAATCTAGTTTTCAGTTAGACTGCAATAAGGAGGGTATGTGGATATAATTCGTAAAAAAAAATATGCATTTTTTTATGTTTGAGCTACAGAATCTCTATTTTTACAATATGTTTTTTTTAAATAATAATATATATAATTATATTATATACAGTTTACATATATATTATATATTATAATATACAGTTTACATTTTAGCTTTACAAGTTTAAAATGTCATAGAGTTACTTACTGAAAAATCTCAGAAAATACCTAAACTAGGTGTGCGTCTCTTGTCTTTATTTCTTTTCCATTTCCAAAGAACAGCAGCCAGTACCAAAATAGTTATAAACACAACAGCAACCAGGCTTCCAACAATAATCCCAGTAGAGTCGTGTTTCTCCTGCGAGACCGTGCTCTCAAAAATATTGATTGTTGAGTTGTAGCTACTACGGATTGTTGTTAAGTCTAACGAAGATGTTTCTGTAGTCTCTCTGGTTTTAACTCCATTCCCTGTGCTAAATAAACATGAAGGATGATAAAATAATATAGTTCATCCATAAATCAAAAGGTCCAAAAATTTACTTTTCTTTCTTTTTATCTATCAAGGACTTATACAGTAAAAACAAAGTATAAACTTTTTAATTGATTATTTTCTAGGGTTCTGAAATTGTAATTTTTTTTTTAAATAAGGGAAACTTTTTACAAATGATTTACGCGAGTATATTTCAATTTTAAAATTGCAACTGTCGCTAAAATGAAATAAAAATAATTGTCCCTCTTGATTATAATTTCAAATATCTCGAAGGATCGTCAATACATGATTGTGTACTTTGAATATAAAAAAGTCTGCAAATAAGTGGGCAATTTCGATTGGCTGATTCCATAAGAGTCATTATTATAACCACTTATTTATTACTGCTTTAACCCTAAAGAGATAGTGAAGAAGTAATACAAACAAACGTGACTTTGCATAGCATAAAATATTGTAAAATTGCTTCTTTATTTACTTTTTATCTTCCAGCTGCACCAGAAATACGTACATTAAGTATTAAGTACTATTCCACGTAAGAATCAGGCAAGAGGCGGCACATGAGGTGTCTCATATTTTTTTAAACTTTGCATGCTGGTATAGTATACTTAGTGACTTCCTAAAATAAATTTATTTTTTATCAAATCAGCGTCTGGTTTCCATGGCAACAGAAATACTCTTTTCGGCCTATCATGACTGAAATTCCCTTAAAAAATATGCAAAATTGCCAATTTTCAAGTTTGAATTAAAACAAGATAGGAAAAGGTATCACAATTACGTTTATTTCTCATTAAAATACAGCTCAACTAGTAACTTTTCATAAATAATTATGATATAATTATGTCCAGTAAAGTGTTCTAATTTAAGACAGAAAAGGGGAGATAATGCTTAAATGCAAAAACATGAAAATATTGATTTTAAAATGATTTTCGGCTATTAAGAAATATAAAAACCCAACAGCCAAATCAAAAGATTATGTTTTTTCCAAATACACCATACCCTGTGGCTTACAAAAGTATAAACACATTTTTGTGCAAATTATATTAAATATCCGAAAATAATAGATGATTTTCATACAAAAAAGAGAAATTTCACTATTTTTGTCAAAGTCCAGTATATGCCATAGATATATACATCTGAAATTAATATTACATTTCTGAACAATTTCTTATTATTTTCAACTCAAAATACAACAACACAATCGTCTTTTTGCAATTTAACAAAACATTTCCATGAACAGTGAAACTTTCTAATTTTGAACTGAAAAGGGGAGGTAATCCAAAATATGCAAAATCATGAAAATATCAATTTTAGGAGGTTTTCAGCTATCGAAAAATTTAAAAAAAACAACACTCAACTTAAAAGACTGTACTATTTCCACAGACATCATACCCTGAAGCTTATAAAAATATAAAAACATTTTTGCGCAAATTTTCATGAACATCTGAAAATTATGGATGAGTTTCGAACAAAAAAGAAAAAATTTTAATACTCTTTTTGTCGAAGTCCATATGCCATAGAAATACAGGGTATACAACTGAAATGAATACAAATCTAGAAAAAAAATTCTTTTTATTGTAACTAAAAATACAACAACACATGTACCTTTTTCAAAAATAAATATTGTCATACTCATATAAAGCCCTGTAAAATCTCTCTAATTTTATACTGGCATAGGGGAGATAATCCAAATATGCAAGAAACAAAAATATGGATTTTAGAGGATTTTCACTTTTTCAAAAATATAAAAATCAAACAGCCAACAGAAAAAGCTGCATTTTGTCAAAAGACATCATACTCTATGGTATATGAAATTAAAACATTTTTGTGTAAATTATTGCATGTATTAATATTGGGGTGAGTTGGGGGATGATTTCTAACAAAAATGAGGGATTTTACTTTTCTATGTCAACGTCCAGTATACGCCATAGATGCCTGCATGTAAAATGAATTTTGCAGTTCAAAACAATTGTTTTAAATTTTCAAGTTCAAATACAACACAATTCTATGCTTTTTTTTCCAGTTAATCAATGTAATAATTTTTATGTCTGCCCACTAAGATGCTCTAATTTAACTGAAAAGGGGAGATAATCCAAAAGTGCTAAAACCTGAAAATATCAAATATCTGAGGCTGTTTTTGAGGTCAGAGAATATTGTATTCTTTAACAAGAAAAATCATTAAAGTGATGAAGAAAATCTTCCTAAATTGTTTATGTTGTCCTTTTTGTACATGTAATACATTTCAATCATAACTAGTACATGTAAATATATTCATGATCTGAGCGACATTTTTCACACATCACATATGTTTGCCATTCAGGTTGATCATGTATTCAAATGACTTTCAAAAAATTTCAACAAAGTTGAATTCATGAAAAATAAATCTTTTCATTAAAACCTCACTACTGGGAAATATGTAAAACAGAATATCAGAATTCAACACAGTTTTCTTTTGAAATCAACAACTACCATTTGTTTAGTAGTCTCTTATAGTCTTATACCGAGACATAAAACTGTAATCTTTAGTGCTTATAAATGCATGGAAGTCGAAGACGAAAGTCACTGCCTGATAAATTTTATCTAAAGTGTTGAACTGGTCTTCTGAACTCCAGTCTTTGTTTATTTGATGATGCCATTTCCAGAGATTTCTGAAGTAATAAGGTTATCAATTATCACCAAACAATTGAAATTTATTGTATAAAGGTTTATCAAAATTGAAGTTTAGGAGTCAGTATTGAGTATTCATTTATTATGGGACTAATATACATCTTGCATTTGCTTTATTACATTTGAATAAGTTATATAAGAATAATGAAATTCTATATTAAATAGAAATTATGAAACGTGTACAATTTATTCTGTAACAACAAATATACATACAAACAGAGATGTAAATGGACCTGCATGACCAAGTCAAAGACTCAAAGTCATGGCAAAAAACATGATAAAAAATATTTATGCTCTCAACAATATGAAATTATGAATCTGCAAATAAACCTTCATAAAAATATCATGAATATTTTCTGTGAAACTGGGCTAAACACAAATCACAAATCTAAGGAATGTGATTGTGAAATCAAGGTCGATGTTGATGCAGTTGAATGGCTTCTTAATGTACAAATGCCACATGTAGTTGTACTGTTTGTGTAAAATTTCATACAAAACAGAGAATATTATTTTTAGCATCTTTGATGTAGGCAATCGATGCCATAATTGACAAACACAGTTCACTGACATTGCACCATTTTTTTTATTTTGAATTTTTGATATGTTCTGCTTTTTTTTTGGGGGGGGGGGAGGGGGCGGAAACAAACTCAGAAATTCTTTTAAATGTCAATTGTGTGTGTATGTCAGTGTTAGAAGGTGAGGGTTGGGTGGTTGAAATATTCTTCTTCTAATCTCAAATTGTCCACTCAAATACATGTACTACATTTCTCCAACTGTACAACATGGGTGTGTGGATCACTATGTATGGGATGGGGGAGGAGGCTGGACTTTCAATAAACATTTCATTTATATAGTAAAAACAAAGGGGGAGCCCCCCATCAATACTAAGTCAGTAAGTTCCTGCAGTTTATAAATCACATAAATGAATACAGTGCAAAGTGCAAACATGTGTTGCTTAATTTTAAATACATCAATTTAAGCATACATGCATATCTTTACATACGACACAGACTGATCCTTACCATTGAAATGTTTCGTCATCTTCCAGTTCAAGACTGTGAGATAAAACTCTTCTGTTTCAGTCACTTGGCATTACATTGCCTGCATATGCCTGGAATTTTCAAGACATTAAATAAAAAAAATAATTAATATGTTCCTTTTAACATGTCTATAAAATCATATAACTATGCTACTTCACTTTTTTTAATATAGAAGTGAAAACAATAATGTCTTGATGGACTGCATCATCAAATACTTGAGAAATTACCCTCAAACACCTTTAATCTGGCCAGATTTTACAACAATTGTATATTACAGAACATAGGTATCAGGTCCATCCGCATCATCTACCTGTTCGCGCGAGTCCGTTTGTGCAGGGTTTGTTCTTGTTCGTCCTTATGTCCTGTTCGCCATAGATCCTGATCGCTCTATTGTAAATATTTACTCATGTCATTATCCCTGGATTTCTAGTCATTTTTGTTTTTTAAAAGATAAATTAATCTAGTTTTTTTCCATCTGTACTTATTGACTTTATTTCTGATTTTAATATTATTTAAAGACTGATTTGGTTAAATTGCTGTTAATTTTGTTATTACTGTAAGAGAACTTCTTCTCTGTTAGTTTTTAAGGGTTCATATTAGCATGTATGCTTTGAAAATAATTAAGGTAATTGAGAGTGACTTTAACCATGAAACCGTTGAGCATGTTGACAATTCATATAGTTTTAAGAATCTTTTATTTCTTAATTAATATAAAATGTACCTTACTGAACATAAATTCAAATTAATGTTTATCACATCGATTAATAAAAATATTTTTTTTTTAATTCTGAAAATAAATTATAATTTAAACCAAAATTCAAAAAAATCAAAGGAAATTATGAGTATTATCCAACTAACATATGCGCAAATGGAGCAAGTGTTAAAATTCTTTTTTTAGAGTGAGCAGACTCAAGGTGAACCACAATAAGAGCGAACGGCATCAAGGACGATATGTCATATACATGTACTATGCTTATGTTTCAAATCCAAATGAACTGGTCAGCCCCCCCCCCCCCCCAATATACTTAACTTTTAAATTACTGTTTAAAGTGTAATCAATAATCATTTTTTTTTAAAAAAGTCAATTTTGTCTAAAAATTAATCTAACCTCTTTCAAAACTACATTGGTCTCACCTTCCAAGTTGAGTAAGTGCCTAAGCGGTGTGGACGGTCTCTCCGTGGGCTTACTTTTGTAATCAGCTGGAGGGCCTTGTAGTTGAACTTCTGACATTGTTCATACTGAAATCGGCAGTATGAAAAAATTGTCATCACCTTGATCAATACGAGTATAGTAATTCCATAGACATGTTATACACAAGTTGCTGCTACAGCTCACCGTCACCGTATCTCTCATCAGATTTTCACTTCGTTTACACGTGCTTGCATCCATAGTTCTGTTTTTGTGAAGTCCTTTTATGCAATTTATGTCAGTTCACCCAGAGATTTGCAATAAATAATGCACTTTGCTTCAATACAATTTTGCAAAGCGATCTGCTATGGAGGCTGCCATTTTTATTTTACTAGCGCCACATATAAAAACTTGCTAAGGGAGATAATTCTTACAAAGAATTGTAGCAAATTGCACTATTTGATTACCCTTTAACTTTGCAATCATTCATTTGCACAAAAATATTAAAGTACATTTTATTTTTACTTTCCATGATTATTGTATTCATGTATTTAGTTTTTCCAAATCCTGTTGGGTTTTAAGGAAATTATTTCATGAAATATACACTATTTACATACAATGTATACAGAACACCCCCCCCCCCCTTTACAAATTTATCCCCAGCTGGGTGATGAATGAAGAATTACAGCAAAATCATTACTTATCATTCATTTTAGACCCAAATGAATACATTAAAATCAGATTTAATGAATTCGCAGATTTTCACTGTACCGGCTTATTAGTACTGTCTGCCTGATTCTTACGTGGAACAGTACTTAAATTCAGTTTACCACCCCAGTAAACAAAAATATAAGGAATTAAATTAACACATCTCTTCCGCCTGTTGGTGTACGTAGCTAAAAATAGAAAAACTGAAAATATCTAAGAAATTTTCATACATTGAAGTATACATGTATAAGTAAACCATTATAACATGTATATAAGTATTTAAGTATTAAGTATAAAATTATTAACGAAAATTTTACACACAGCAAAGGAACTTTGATTGGATTAAATGTGAGGGTCTTGAAAGTTTATTCCGATCAGCAATGAAATCGACAATATATGTTTAGATAGATTGAAATCAGTTTACCGGGTAATTAAACTCCGTTTCGTATTGTGTTATGAATTTTATACCATATCACAACAATAAAGAGTATCTTATATTTACTATAGAGCATTATTGTCTAATAAAAGCATGTACGTTATTGCATTTTTTGAATCTAAAAAGGAAAAAAAAATATTATGTACGAGGGTTGTACGAAAATTACTTAAACCCTATTTAAATGATACATTTCATTGTCTAGTGTAGTAAGGTGGCGAAGTTGCAATAAAAAATATGTACATCATACAGTATTCCTACGGAAAAGTTAGTAAATACTCCGTATTTTCAAATAGAAATGAAAATTCTTGTTATTTATGATTAACAATTTTTCGTTAGATGTTTAGGTTAATGCCTTAAGAACTATTTTAAAACATTTAATACACCGGGTTGAAATAAGACTTTTTGAAACTGGCGGTGCACTGGACTGTAATGCAGTGTTTTGATCTTGAATTCACACCTTCAGAAATGTAAAAGTACAAATGTTTGGGAGACAAAAATATGGTTTCTGGTCTGAAGTGTTTCCCATTATTATGTGAATATCGGAAACTTAAATAAAAAATCAAGTCTAAGAATTGGCAATAAGAGTACCACAGTGCAATGCAATCAGTGAACTCAAACGAAAAATCCCTAGAAATATAGGGTTTTAAAATTTATTATTTTATGCATATACATGCATAAACTAGTACTTTGTGTACATATACTTTGTTTACATATTTTATTGTTTAATCCTTTCATGATAGTATTTAAGATATTTCATATTTATACCTATAACCGTTTTGATAAAATAAAGAATCTGATTCTGTTAATTGGAATATTTTCTCCAAATATTAGAACCTTTGATATTTGTCTTCTTTGCATTTGACATTGCACATTGCCCCAGGTTTTAGAGCACCGTACCACTTCAAATCTAACTTCAAATAACTTTATGTTGTTATGTAAAAGAATATTCATTTTGTAATCAGCTTTTGAATATCCCTTAATTGTATTGTTCCATGTATTACTTATTGTCATTTTTAATAAATGTACATTCACAAACAAATTCTGTGTCGTGATATTTTATCTAGAAAGAAAACTAAAGGTATTTTTGATATTTATATTACTTAAACAGCATGCATTACATAAACATTTGAAAGTTTCAAGTTAGCAAATCAAGATCATAAAATAGATTGAGCGATAAGAAAATACTTACCTGTTCGGACACGAGACTTCAGCAAGATAGCATTGTTGTTCAGTATTGATGCTTTGACAAGCAGGATCTAGAATCATATATAAAGGAATTAAAATGTCAATAAATATATCGATTAATAAATCATTTTTAAGATGCGTTTAGGTTGTGATTAGATACTTCTTCCCTCAATGAATTAGCATTTTTGAAAAATAAATGATCTTACACTGGTATATTGTATTGCTTGGATAATCGTTGCCAGGACAACCTGATGAAAATCCAAGACAATCGACGTAATAAAGTTGTTCTCCGTCGGTTTCCAAACAGTTACCTTAAAAATGGGATGAAAGGTAACATGAATATGTGTGTTGTAGTAAAAAAAAAGAGGAATAAAAACTATAAAGTAGGCTTTAGTCAACATTTCAATCAGATATAACATAATATTAAAGAGTCTTATAACAGAATTTCACACAAACTTTTCACTTGTGGACAAGAGCATGATATTTGGAACCATTCTCTAATTAATGACAGAATAGATAAGTTAGATATGACAAGATCATGCTTCGATTAAATTAGAATATAAGTCTAACTATATGTTCAACTGGACAAAAAAGGATAGACTCTGGAAACAAAGGACTGCAGCATATTGATTTCAGTGTATAAAACTTTAACAAACAAATCAAAGAAGAATAAAAAATGAATTAACCAAAAAAATCATTTTAAAGTTAAAATAGCACAGGACATATGATTAATGAAAAGGAAAATGGATTTTTTCCAAAGAAAAATGTTGAATTCCTAGCAAATATTTAATAAAACAAGAAATGTTTATGTCCTGAAACTTATTGAATGAATTCCTAGCAAAAATTGAATAAAACAAGAAAAATATGTCTCAAAAAACATTGAATGAGATATCCTGAAAAAACATTGAATAAGATCTCAAGAAAAATTAAATTTTAGGGTGCAAATGAAAATTGAAGAGAAGGAGGTCCAAACTCTAGAGGACAAAAGAAAAATATATAAATGAGCTTGACAAGGTTTAAGGACGCTGAGCTGGTAAAATCTAGATAGAAACCTTACCAAAACATGATTATGATTATACCGTGTGAAAAAAAAAACAACATAAAAACAAATTCTCAGAACTATCAGGTTTCAATTTTTTTCATTTATTGATTGGTGTTAACAAATTTTCTTCTTAAGTAATTAAATAGATTATCATATCAAAGCTTCTCTTTCTTTACAGTTTTAGATTTCAAATTTTTTTTCTTTTTTAATTAATAACGAATCTCCTTTAATAAAATATCTCACTTTAAGAAACATTTTTACATGGAACAACTTAAAATCCATTGACATAAATCTTATTTATGTTCCCTAAAATATCTTTTATGTTTGTAAAATACAACAAATATACTTATAATTATTGGATATTTTTTTCCTTTCGGAGGAATCCTCTTAATTAGCTCTTCATGTTTCATTGAAAGCAATCTGACGATATGCAAAGTTTCCGAATACATTTTTATAATATCAGTCTAAAATCTTTTTGCGACATGTTTCTATGATAATCTGACCTCTACGAAGATTCTTTATACACGCTTTTTAACACTTTGAACACTGGAACACTTACCTCTTTGTATCAATTCCATGACACCGTTATAACATAGTTCTACTAGCCCTGTTTTGTTTCTATTAGAAACACAGATGTACTGATCGTTCCCATACTTGTCCTGACCACAGCCCAGTCTGGTGGAGGATTCCAAGACCTCTGTGGCGTTCTGGGGACATGAATTCACAACGTTTTTCATTTCTACAAGGAAAAACCATTCGCAAAATAAAATATATATAATCATACGACTAAATATTGCATTATTCTCAGATAAAATGAAATTCAGCATCTCTGAACACTTTCATCGTTGTAAAGTTGCTCCATATATGTTCAATCCAAAGGTTGTACGTTTGCTGATATTTTTTTTTTGGATCCGAATTGTCAAAATACATCACTGCTATTCAGACGAAGAACTATTATGAATACATGATCACTAAAGAGGTCTAAAGGCCATCTCTCGTGACTGTGTTTAACAGAGGAATTTCAGCATTTTCCCTATTGAATAAATTAATTTTATTTACAAGAAAATGATATTATCCCAGGTTGAAAGCTTACAATCTATAATTCATGAAGCTTCTATAATTATGGGATACCTTTGAAAATTAAGATACGGCATGTGTATATCATGTGTACAAAACGGGATATAACAAAATCTGATGTACAATTGGTAGGGATAAGAATATTAATAACTAATTCAGGCAAATCACTTGTATTATGCATATATGTTATAACTGTTAACTGTAAATTTGTGATACATATTTCCGTATGTTACATGTAAGAAAACAATATCTGTAATATGTGACACAATCAAAAGGACAGGGATGGTACTAGAAATTTTTGAAAGAGGTCTACTTCATCAAATCACTATACATCAACCTTTGTTATGTTGAAAATAAATCATGCCCCTCATGTAAAGGCATAAATCCCCCATCCCTTTTTATAAGAAGATTTTTCTGTTGAAAAATTCCTTATCAATTGCATTTATTGGCAACGCATTCATCTTAGTCATTTATGTTGAATTTGATAAAAATCATGCATTTATATGGATATATTCTCTGAAGGTCTTCGACATTTTTCAGTAAGCTTTAGAGCTTAATTATAGTGACTAATGATGATGAAAGCATCTAGAAAGTAACGGAAAAAGATAAACTGTGTTGTGAAAAAAATACAATATCGAACAAAAGTCGACATAATCAAAAGACATTATAACTGCTTTTTACTGGTTCCTACCAGAAATAACTTCTTGGAATTTTATAATTTAGAAATAACCGTATGGTTTGGTTCAAATTACTAAACGATATATGTTTTTTTTTTTATATAAAATCCAAAATATTTATATTTTTTAAATTTCTTTGAACGAGAGTCTGGTAAATAGGAACGATTTTAGAATATACGAAATTTACATCACGTGAGAACAGAAAAGGCCTGAATAACGCATCCCCCTTTCCCTGCTTCCTGCATACATTTCATTTTGATTCTTCTAATTACTTAAAAAATCTCCAAAACCGAGGACTTTAAAATTAATTATCATACATTTGAATATATTGTTGTAGCTTAGGAATTCAAGTATGTTTGGTTCGTTTGATAATTAAAATCTTTTTAAAAATATCAGAAATGAGCAGGTTTGGAACCTGCATTTTTCAGGTGTATATCGACTCAATTCGTTCTGATTCCTCGATTTAAGATGAAGCCCCCAATTTATCTGTGAACCTTTTTTTGCAATGAAGTTCTAAGGTCGATACAATGACCTTGTCAGCAAATACAATTTATCATTGAGTCAAATGCCGACTGACGTTCTTCATGCTAATTGACAGTCCATTATTTATACACTGAACTGACGACGGATTTTTCCGTTATTTCCTGATTACCGGTCAGCTATTACTAAGGAATTGCTCACTCCTCCATGGCATCTGATCCCACCTCTTATTTGTTTCGGAGGTCCGTGCATGTGTTTGCTCTGCTCTTATTTTGTATTATTTTATGGACTTTGAGATTGAATACTATTCATTATCTCTTTCTTGCAATAAAGACAAATGAGACAAATTTGACTTCATTGTTATCCTTGATGTTTGACATAGACTGAAATCATTTTCAAATATACTCAAACCATTTAAGAGCTCAAAGAACTGTATTCTACTGATTTAACTTAGTATTATTATCATATTAATCTAAGATTTTCTAGATTTTAAATTTTATAGATATTTTTTAATTCGCAAATCCATATTATTCAAACTTCAATATAAATTAATGTGTATTCGTCGTACAGGAGTAAAAAAATGTCATATTTTTAAAAAAGCGAAATAATCTGTTTCAAATTTAAATTTGTAAGTTTTAGGATATGTCTTCCAAAATAGATAATCCATGTTATGGTTAAAGTTCTACTGATATATCTCCTAAAACAAAAGGTCCATGGGCAACAACGCTCACATGAGCACTGTGACTAGGAAAAAGTAGTAATTGGTTTTTTTATTGAAAAGTTTAAATCCCAAAGTAGTCCCATGATCAATCACGCATTTGCTATTCTTGAGATGATTTTTAGAGAATTTTCCTATATATTTCTATGTAAAATTTGGTCGGCCATTTTGGCCCCACCATACCCCCGGGGGTCATGATTTGAACAAACTTCAATCTACACTACCTGAGAATGCTTCCATATAAATATGATGAATTATGGCTTTGTCATTCTTGAGAAGAAGAATTTTAAATAATTTTCTTGAGATTTCTAAGTAAAACATTGGTCGGCCATTTTGGCCCGGTCCTACCCCTGGAGGTCACGCAGTTATGATAAGGCTGTTTGCAGGTTTAAAATGTCTTAAAATATATTCTGAGTTAGATTTTAACTTTAATATGTAATCCTTGTTTGAAATTGCAGTCAACTTGAGATAATTGTTTAATCAGGTTTTATTTTAAACCATTTTTTGAAGTCACATGGCTGTGTGATCACGTGACTGAGATTTATGATATTCCATATTGTTGCACAAAATCACCTCGGCACAAGTGGAAAAAAAAATATTGTACAAAGATTAGGAAATAGATGGATTCATCGTGATCTCTGGAACATAGAAAGTGCTGTTGTCAGTTTAAATTTTTACTCGTTAAGAAAAATTTTTTGCGAGAAATTCAACTTTTCAACATAAAAAGGGGTATTTTCCATTTTTTATCAACATTTATACAAAAATGGATAAACTACACACAACCCCCAGCAAAATTCAGTGAGAGGAAAAACTTCTTTTGTAGATTCACACAGAATATCTTCAATGTGTTCTAGACTTGTTTATCACTTGAGCCAGCTCAATATACACGATTCTTTTTTACAAGATTTACAGAGTTATCGCGCTTTGTCACACGGCGGCGTTGTCGTCGGCCGCCATGACGGTGCTGATAATGTGATAAAAGTGACAGTAAGCACTACGAATAAATGGGTGACAAATGCACTGTTTTCTTTGTTTTCCAAAGTCGGACATGTTGAGATACATGTACGACTGGAAAAGTATGTTACATCTAGTATAGTAAATAAATTTAACGAGAAGATTTACACGTGTTTTTTTTTATCAGGTTTTCAATTTCATTTTATTAGTTAACCGCTCATAGGTATGTCCGGAACCTTTTTATTTGATGTATAGTATATAATTTTATACACCTTGTGCTGGTTTACTAAATAAAATAATGATCAATAACAAATAATTTGAGACAAAATCTAAAAAAAAAAATTGTGTTTACCATTTTAAAAAAATAAAAATGTGTCAGTCGAGAAAATCTAGACGACCGTCGTGTTATCAATCCAATTTTACTTACGGATAATAATTTATTTAATACTCTATCAAGTGATATACTAAAACAAATACTTTCTATTCTTCTTTATCTTATACATGTACAATCCCAATTAGCCTATATGCGATCGTATATATGAAAAGCCCACCTGCCGAGAAAATCATTTTACGCCCCCCCCCCTTTTCTTTAAAACATGACTTAGTTTCAGGTATTACATTTATAACATTTGAGTAGGATAAAATTAAACAAAATCTCCATTTTATTTTAGAGTGTTCTGTAATATTAAACACGATTATCGGTTTTATGAAATGATTCCATACATGTTGGTTGTGAGAAATTACTTGGGAAAGAAAAAACCTTGTTTAAAAAATAGGTAGTAAAGCGTTGCTTGAGCATTAAACTGACTTGCATGCTGAGATATACACATGTATAAGTAAGAATATTTAAATTAAAGTCCAGTACACATGAAGCTGTAAATATAAAACTGCAAAAAGAAGGAAAACGGAAAAATTGAAGTAATTAATTAGTTGTGGATTAACCATTATAATATAGGCGTCGGAAACAATTTAACCTGAAATAGATAAGAATATCAAGGCAGGGAAGGGTGATACTTTAAAAAATTAATGATCTGCTTGATCAACCTGTATTGATATTGAAACCATGCACATGTATCCTTAAGAAATTTAGTCAAAAAATATTCACCATGACAGATGTAGATGTGTTGGACTTGTAAGAGATTTTGTCGTCATTTATAAATTTTGTTTAACGCCCATGGCACGCAGATTTTTTTTAAATGTGAAAAAATACGAGAAGGGGTAAGTTAAAAGGGGAGGATCAGTCGTCATATTCATTAGCCAATATCCCACGAGGACCGATGGATAATGAATAAACACGTAGAGTTTATAATGAGCTAGAAAATAATCAGCGAAGAAATGAAAACAGAAAATGAAAAAAGTTCAAGTCGTACATTTGTTTGTATGTGAATGCTCATATTTATTTTCCAAAATAGCTTAACTACGCACCTGTTTTAAAACGTTTAATTTTACTCGAGACCACCCTCTCTCTCTCTCTCTTTCTCTCTCTCTCTCTCTCTCTGTGTGTGCGTGTGTGTGTGTGTGTTTGTAAAAGATATAACATTCTTACTTATATAAGTTTTTACCTTTTAATCTTGCTACATGTAAAATTTATTTCAAAGAAAACTCGGCTTAATATTTAATAAACCGCGGAAATAAGGATGAAATATAACCAACTCTGCCTAAAATAATAACAATTAATCAATAATTATTATTTATCTTAAAACATATATTTACACAAACAATGAAGAAAAAAACAATACCATAACAAAGAATGAATCAGTTAACTTGTACTTCATATAAACGCTTTTTTGTTTTACGCCAGTTAATTGATGAATAACGGAGAAAAGTTACTGCATTGACCAAAATATGACGTTATCAGCACCTTCATGGCGTCAAATCATGTTATCCAAACATAGCAGCGCCCATAAATAAGCTCAAAGAATAGAGTATAAACCCGTTTCATCAATCCTAACTCTGTCAACGGACATGTGAGGGGAATGTTTTACACATAATTTTTCGATATTGTTTGAATATGTGCATATCGGACAAGCTAAAGGAATAGGGTTATTTAAGTTTCAAATGTTCAACATCATAATAGCCTACTGAAGCTTAAAAATCAATTTTAACACTTTAATTAAACAACAAGTCCCCAAAATAAATCTACATGCTATGTAAAATTTATGACACTTTCCCTGTAATGTCAGCACAAGTATGCTGTGAGTTGACGTCATATTCTATTATGACGTAATATCTAGGTAGTTCAGAGAAGTTACTATAGTTTAAACAGTTTTATAATTTACGGGCAGCCTTATCCCAGCTGCACATGATTTGAACAAACTTAAATTTACACTACCTGAGGATGCTTCTATATAAATATGATGGATTGTGGCTTTGTCATTCTTGAGTATCAACAGTCTCGTTTAAAGTCATCATTTCGTTAATTCTATGGTCGATACAATGACCTTGTCAGCAAATACAATTTATCATTGAATGAAATGCTGACTGACGTTTTTCATGCCAATTGTTAGTCCATTAGTCCATCATTAATTACTGAATTGACCACGGATTTTTTCCGTTATTTCCTGATTATGACAAAGAGCACACGGCGGGTGTGACCGGTCTGCAGGGGATGCTCACTCCTCCATGGCACCTGATCCCACCTCTGATGTTTAGGAGCTCCGTGTTTGCTCTGCTCTTATTTTGTATATTTGTTTAATGGACGTTGAGATTGAATACTGTTCGTTATTTCCATATCCTTCTTCCTTGAGAAGATTTTTAAAGAAGTTTCCCTATATATCTTTATGCAAATCTTTGGTCGCCATTACGGCCCCGCCCTACCCCCAGGGGTCATGATTTGAACAAACTTCAATCTACACTATCTGAAGATGCTTCCAAATAAATATGATGAATGATGGATTTTGTCATTCTTGAGAAGAATTTTTTAAAGAATTTTCCTATATATTTCTATGCAAAATTTTGGTTGGCAATTTTGGTCCCGCCCTACCCCGGGGTTTATGATTTGAACAAACTTCAATCTACAATACCTGAGGATGCTTCTATAAAAATATGATGAATTATGGATTTGTGATTCTTGAGAAGAAGATTTTAAAAGAATTTTCCTATATATTTCTATGAAAGCTTTGGTCGGCCATTTTGGCCCCGCTCTACCCCCGGGGGTCATAATTTAAATAAAAAATAAACTTGAATCCACACTTCCTGGAGATATTATATCATTATTTTCATCTTTCCTGGCACACTGGTTCTTGATAAAATTTTTAAAAGATGCCATCAAATTTTCATTAATTTCAAATAATCTCCCCTTGAATGAGAGCGTGGCCCTTCATTTGCACAAACTTGAATCCAGTTCACAAAGGAAACTTTGTGACAAGTTTGGTTGACATTGGCCAAGCGATTCTTAAGATGAAGTCGAAAATGTGAGAAGTTTACAGACGGACAGCTTGACAGACGGACGCCGGACAAAATGTGATGAGAAAAGCTCACTTGAGCCCTATGCTCAGGTGAGCTAACAAAGAACTCGTTGATAATTTTATCACACGTCTATTTTTTAGTGCGTATTGCTCTCCATATACAAAAGAATGGTAGTCGCTTATGTCTGAAGTTACTGCCAATAATAAGTGTAAAATACTGTCTTCTGTCAGCATCCAGTCTTACAATGCCCTACACAGAAACATGTATGTCATATTAAAAGTGTTTCTTTTTGGCAAACAAAGTTTATGTGTTCAGCCAAGGAAATTAATGAATTATTCTTACACACATCTGTTGTTCATAAAACGAAAGTTGATCAATTCAAATTGCATAAAAACATCATTGTTCAAATCTAAATAAGAATTAAAATTGCTTAATATGTCAATATCGATTATAGTTAATGAAGTATTTACTGATTAAAGTTATCCTTGGTCTTGTTCCATGACTACGGGATATTCTCCATGATCAGCGTTAGAAAGGTCGTGCATGCTGTGCGGTTTTAGTACAGGTAACTTTATTAAATATCCGGGTTACCTGTGTATCTGTGTAATCTCGCACAAAACACCACACAATACTCTTTTATAAGCAAACACATGCATGGATATCGCCTGAAGTTCAAGTAACAAAAGTCCTGAATACCTTAAAAATGCATGAAAACTCTGCACATAAATATCCAAATTGATAATGTTTATTTTTTTTTCTGACGCGCAATTTAAGTTTTAAATAAAAAAGATATATTCCCTGTCGGATTCAAAGGTTGACAGACACCCCCCCCCCTTGAGCCCCCCAGAAAACAGAATATTTGAAAAATATTTTTTTTGGCGTGGCTGTGGACCCCTACTTTGCCCAAAACCGCCCTCCCCCCTTTCAAAATATAAGGATCCGTCACTGATATTGACTCGTAAAGGAGATCAAAGTTACTAATGTACGGAATGCACTGAATGGTACGTCTGTGGCAACGCACTTTGAAAAAATTACGCACTTTGAAAAAATTTTTCAAAGTGCGTAATTTTTGGGACAAAATCAACGCACTTTGAAAAAAATTTTCAAAGTGCGTTAAATTTGGGACCAACTCAACGCACTTTGAAAAAATTTTAGCCCCCCCTCCCCCTCCCCTGGCCCTTCGCCCAGTCTCGATGTCTATGCTATACTCAAAGCATTCATATAATTATGTATTTACCTAACTGGTATGACGGTGAAAACTTTCAATAATAAATGAGTTAATTAAATCAGATGAAAACTATAATTTTTTAAGTACAGTAAAACGTATCAGAGAGAAAGAATTTTCATAGTGTTGAACAATCAAATTGGCCCCTTTTTATTATGATAAATGCTAAGTTGCTTGAAGCTGTCCTCTGTTAGTGCCCTCTATACACTTTTAACATCTACTTATTAAAGACTAGAATTAAAAAAAAGAAGAAGAAACGAATTAATGAACTTAAACGATCGTCACTCTTTTTTTCAATACTCTTTAATTTTCCCTTTTATTTTTTCAAAACCTTAAAAATTTAAAACGTCAATATCTCAGGTCCTACAGTGACTTAATCATAAAAAAGTTATTTAACCAGGATCTGTTATTTATCATACAGATTATTTGAAGGAATTTTGATCAATCTTTACATTTTTTCAAAGTGCTTTAATATGGTCGATATTAACGCACTTTGAAAAAAAAATATTTTTTTCAAAGTGCGTTAGCTTGGTCCCAAATTTTAACGCACTTTGAAAAAAATTTTCAAAGTGCGCAATTTTTCAAAGTGCGTTGTAACATACGTTTAATATTAAGAAACTGAGCAATTGGAATTTTTCAATTCTTTGTGGTGGAGTTGGGTTGGGTTCGATGGGGATGCCCCCCCCCCTAAAAATACTAAAGACGATTTTTAAAAAAAATTCATTTGTTTTCCCTCTCTACAGACAAGCGCGACTGAAGGAAATGGTCTGACTCGATTTTTTTTACATTCTAGGATATGGGAGATCTAGAGCTATATGTAGCAAACATTAATTTAAAATATCTTATTGATTTAAAAAAGTGATAGGTCAAGCATAACAATTACATACCAGAAGGTAATAAAAAAGTGATAAAAAAGAAAGAAAAATGCCAGAAAAATCAATTTTTATATCATAACGTATTTAAATAAATGCCAGTTGAAGTGCATAATATACAGTATATATTAATTTTTCTTTAATTTTATTTTTTGTGATAGGAATAGTGAAAATAGTACGTGCAACTTTATCAGTTCTAATAATGTTATATTTTAAATAAGCTTCCTATTAAAGCCAATTTACTTGTATAAATAGGGAACGCAAATATCAGCAACACTGTACATTCGTCAATTTTTGCTAGCGCTTATTATCGCAAATTGCTCTCTAATGTCATATCGCAATGCAGGACGGTTAGGCTGAAAAATAGAAATAACTGCGATTTTTCTTTCAAGATTAAAATACATATTTTACAAGGATAGGCATTCTCTTTTAGACTTTACTGATATCAGAAAAATAAGATGTACTTCAAATTCATATGTTGAGGACATTCAGATTTTTTTTATTGAGACTTTTCACGTGAATAATAAGATTTAAGCAAATATAATTATCTTCAAATTCTGAAATTGCAAACGAATAACAAAGTTGAAAAATCGTTTTATTTTTAATGCTTTTTAACACTTAATATACTATTTTAGTACTGCGAAGTTATATCAATTCCAATGACCAATATGCCATTTTAAGTACTGAGGTGAAAATTAAAAAAAACAATTTTCTTTTATATTGATAATATGATATTCATTTTATTAAAAAAATATGAAATTGGTTGTGTCAGAAATGGTATTTGAAAAACCCTCAAAGACCCATCGAATTTACTTGAAATTTATCACAAAATAGCATGGAAAATCAATTTTTCCAGGGGGGGGATTGGACCATCAATATTAAAATCCAGAGTGATCCCTGCTTATATTACATAAATTTTGCAATGAATATGCATAGAAATACACAATATCATCATGCCTCTGGACAATATACGAACAATATATTAATAAAATAATGAAATTATAGATTTTGCATCCAAATAAACGACCTTTTATATAAGTGCAAATAAAATTTTATTAGATAAGAAGACACTTTTTTATTGTATGAAATATGGCCAGTTCAGCCTATCACTATGGACAAATTGCGTCAAATTTTCAAAAACTCCGTGTTACACGGACCATTTAATAACAGTTTACAATTATCAGGGGTTTTGGTAATTTTTCAAACTTAATTTTCTTTAAAAAGTGTATATTACCTGAGAACTGACACATATGATTCCTTAACATACCCGCGTCTTCTTAATTTCTCTCGGCTAACTTGTAACTGCGTTGTCAGACACAGGAAAAATACCCTGCCGAGCAATGAATTTTCTAAAATAAATGTCAAATTTTAAAGGTCATGTTCTTAAGGTCCTAAATGTACCTATAGACCCTGAGAGGTGCTACTACCCCACACGCTCGCCGCACGAACGGTACACGAACGCTACACGATTTGCATGAAGCGCTGCAAGGTTTACACAAATTGCTACACGGTTTGCACGAAACGCTTTGCACGAAAGGCTGCACGCTTTACATGAAATGCTGCACGAACCGCTTTGTACACGTTTCTTACACGCTTTGTATACGATTCTCACACGTGTTGGCCTCGATTTGGATTTAATACTCGGAATCTCTCGGTCATTATTACGGTCTTATTATTATTAAATCAATTACATGTCAATCTCTCACAACTAGTTTAGCAGCGGTTTAAATGAAAATTCTGTATACACAAGTTATATACAAACCAAAAGAAATATTCAACACTATATACTCGTATCTGACAGTTGTAATTTATTAATCAATAATTGTCAATAATAATGAATAATTTTGTATTTATTTATGCAGTCGTACAGAGATAAAATGCCGATATCATCGTGTACGTATTATATATTTTATTCGCTGGCTTAAAAACTGCATTATGAAATGTGATTAATATATATTAGTCATTAATGACATGAATTATTTTTCCTGCATTTAATTTTTTTACACTTAAAGGTAAATATAAATTAAACAAAAAAATTTACTACTTCAGTTAAGCAAAATTCATTCATTGATTTTAAATAACATTGATAATGATTAAATTGCATTAACTTTGATTTCCGTACTAGGCAGATTTAGTTTTCTTGTTTTTGATTTAATAATAAAAATTGTCTATATAATGCATCCAACTAACGATTAATCAAGGATATCTTTTTATTGCAAAATGTTAATTACATGTCAGTAAAAGTGCATTAACAAATTTTGTCGATTTATTATTGTAGTTCATATCCTTCACGTATTGGTAGGATTTAATATGCTGACGGTGCGACCGTTAGAGCGAGCGCAAACTCTTATATTGTCTTGATTAAGATCGGGCTCGTCAAACCGCACATGACATTTGGTACGTCTAGACTTTGACGTCACATGACGTCGTGTGTAAGTTGCAATACCAAGGAAAAGGCTGAACAGCGCTAAAAGTTTTTGAAGAACGTTTCGTTTTCTAATTATCTTCGATATGTATCCATTAAATCAATTCGAGTAAACTTTTTGTTGAACATTTGCCGTTATTCTCGCGATAACGTTGCTAAGACAAGTGATGCATTGTGGTTTAAATTACTGCGTCAAAAAATTCTATTGAATGAATGTGCTGTAGTCCGAATTTTCTCTTCTCACAGGCGTTGCTTTAAGAGCTCGCAGTGACGAGCCTCGCTTGGCGATGCTCGCTGCACTCGCTATTAGAGAGACAAGACTTAGTGTCTGTGCAATAGTGGATATTTGTATTTATGTACAACATAAAGTAATTTATACCATCTATCAATTAATTATAGATTGTTAAGATTTTTTTCCGATATTGTAATGCCACATGCAACCTGCATCAGTAATTATAATTCTATCTTTTCATTTGCTCATTGTCTCAAGTCTGCGTACTGTCTGGAGAATGTTTTCAGCAGTAATAATAGGGTCCACTGTAATACGTGTATGTTCGGATACTGCTAGTTAGCATAATTGCATAGAAACAAAGTGGTCGGGACAGCTTGAATTGTACTACAAATATCAATTAGGACATATAAATTTATTTTAAGATTATCCAATGATTTAAAGTTTAAAGAGTGTATTTTAACTGAATAATCAAAGTTTAAATTGTTGCTTGCAATCGTCAAGTTAAGGCCCCTAATATATCTTTTTTGATTAGGTTCATATTTTCGTAAGAAAAATTGTAGATAAATGAACCAGCTGAACCCATTTTAGCGACCTTATGACCAAAGACATTTTTCAGTTACAGTGAAAATTTAAAAAAAAAACTTTTAATTTGGCCATATCTCTTGAACATTTATACTTTACATAAATATTGTGGTGGCAGGACCTTTTACTGGATACAAACAACATTCAAATTTTTTGAAACCTTCAGGTAAAATAACATGGAAAAACTTTAAAATATGGCTACAACATTAGCAAAACGATCTAGGGCTTTTTATACTTCACATATGTACTTCTTGTGAGAGGATCTTTCATTTGATACCAAGAACCTTGACCCTTTGATCAATATCACAATATATTGATAAAATAAAAATAAAATTTTGACCATAATAAACGACTTTTTATATCAAGTGCATATAACATTTTATCCTTGTGACAAGACCTTTCATTTCATACCAAGAATCTTTACCCTTTGACGATGACCTTTGAGTTTCACCCTTTTTACACAAACTTTTTTACTTGACACTAATTTTTATACGGTAGTAATAGGAATTTCTTACTTTGAATATCAATTCTTATTGGCAAGACCTTTCTTTTGAAACCAACAATTCTGATGTTAGCGATTTCCGCAGGTACCATTAACTTTGGTAATAACTTTTGAACAGTAAAGGCTAAGGCTTTCATATTTTAAATGAGCAATCCTTGTTACAAGATCTTTCATTGGATATCAAGAACTTTTACCCTTTGACCTTTATTGGAGTTTGACTTTCGTTTTACAAACTTTGACCTAGGTCATTAATTTTGAATGGTGAGGTTCAGCGATTTCATACTTTTCATATGTAATATTTGAGACAATGCCTTTCTTTAGAAACCAACAACCTTATCCTTTTGACCTTGACCCCGGAGTTTGTCCTACCTTTTAAAATGTTAACCTTGGTCATAAACCTTGAACAGGTGATGCTAGTTTTTTGTATTTCTATTGCAAAGGCCTTACTTTAGTTACCAACATATTTGATCTGCATTTGAGAAAGCTTTACCTTCGCTATGTTGCCATAAGGGGACATCAGTGTTTCACAAACACATCTTGTTAACTCCTAAAATACCACAAGAATAATTAATTCAAATAATAAATACAAACACAATTTGAAATCCTGTCTAATAAATAAACATTGTTTTATTTTAGATAATGCTACAAGGACGACTTTCACATCCATATAAGTATTATTTCGATTTCTAAATGAATACACATTGAAAAATGAAAAAGAAAAAAAAAACAACAATAAAGAACGCGGGTAATATGGAAGCATTTAAGTCATTTTTCAGGAAATTCAGACTTTTTAAAGAAAATTTAGTTTCAAATGGATAATTTACCAAAACCGCTGATAAGCGTAAACTATTATTATCTATTGCATAAAGATATAAAAGTGTCTAACACAACGATGTGCAGCACCACCACGGCATCACGTGACTTCTATTAATAGCGAAATTTTCCTTAATAAAAAAGCGAACAGAACAACAATACTCCGGAGTTTAATAGTTTGTTTGAGTAAATAATGAAGTTGAAAAACATCTATTTTGTCTAAAAAGTGCTGCTAGAATCCCACTGTCCCGTCAGTAAAATAATTATTCCGCACGAAACCGTACCCGATGTTTTGAATTTTTTACCTTTGAACCGAGATTTTTTGTAAAACCATGCTTATCTCGGGATTCTAGCAGCACTTTCCAAGTATTTTAGGATTCAAACTTTCCATCTATACAAATTTTATGTTTTGAAATATACAGCTTATTGTTGTTCTGTTGCATTATTTTTGTCACAATTGATAGAGGAAAGGCGACCGGGATACGTATATAGCTAACTGTCTTCGATAGAGGATATTATCGACAAATATAGGTTAGCATACCTGTTTAATTAACTGAACTCCATATGAATTTCACAAAATATTCACGATATATGCTTTTAAACTCCATTTTACATATCTTTGTTCATGCCGTCAGAGCCAAATTCTTTTTACACAACATGATCTATTCCCGATCAATTCCCAAGTTACTTGATGTACACATATGACGTCATCGGTTGTAGATTTTAATCAAAATGACAGAATACATCATAACGAAATAAAAACATTTTATTTTTTGTTAATGTTTACACGTATCTATTCATTTTCTAGAGTTAAATCACATCTCTAAATACCAATATTACAAAAAAACCTGTGTTCTAAAATTGACGTTATCTCGCCAACTACATGTATGACGTCATAATGAAGATTCCTGAATGAATACATAGGAACAATGAAAAAGAATGCTTCCTTACCAATAAAGAAATCATACATTTTAACATGTATTAACATTTTATGTTATAAGTATTTATTTATTTAACAAAATATTGGGTTGGAATAGAAATAAGAACGTATTTGAATTAAATTTTCAGCTGAATATTGAAAATGTTCAATAATGAGGAAGAATGTAGAACATGATTCCATTAAAGGGGCTGAAGGGTTATGGTCATTTATATACTATATCGATCTCCTTTTGAATGAGAGCTTCATATGAAGATATTAAAATGTAGTTTTATTTTAATTTTTCAAACTAAAATGTAATTTTTCTTTGCAAAATGATAGTTGGCAGCCTAATATATCAAAACTTGTAAATTAAGTAATATCAGATTGTTAATTTGTTGCATTGCCAACCCACTCCCAACCCCCAGCTTCTTTAAATATGTCTCATGTATTGGATTTCATTGAGAAATAAAAAAAAAAAAAGAAATGCTGATATTACTCGTAACGAAGGTATCGATTCACTATAACTTCTAAAATTTTTAGAATAAACATAAAAAGTTTTTAAAATTCAATGTATATAGTATATGTACAGACTTTTAAAATCAAATAAATTTAAGAACATATAATGATAATAGTAGTTAACCATAAGAATCTATTCTGATCAGTGTCAAATTATATAGCTAATCGTGAGTGTTTTGATTTATTTCCCGGTATGATATTCAGATCCATCACTCAAAAAGAACATCGAGATAAGTATTATCATTTCCCTGAACTATTTCCGGCGCAACAGTGGAGCATTCAACTATCACGTCATCATATGAAGACGACGATTTACTGTTATTTTCATTACATTCATCATTTCTGTCATCATCGACCAAGACTTCTTCTGAATCCAAGATTTCTATATACGAATGCCGTTGTCTACCAATGGTGTCTTTTCTATTTAATGTTGAAATAAGCGGGTCTATGTAATCTTCCAAATGATTAGCTTTACCTGGCTCCTCCTGTATCGAATGAGAGTCTGTTGTGTGGCTTGACGGAACATCCACCATTTCCAAACACACATCAATTTCCTGATACTCCGACTCAACATGCTGATACACGTGACCTTTCTGACATTTGTCTTTATCCGTGTCTAGCTTGCTATATTGTTTTTTATCGTTGTCACGTGATTTGATTGCCGAGTCATTAAATACGTCTAATTCATTGTTTTCTTCTAGATTTTTCCTTGATATCCTTTTATGTGCTGATTTTGATCTCAATCGGAGTTGAGCAATGATAACTATAAGAAGTATCGCTAACAACAACCCCACACCGAATATTAAATAATTACTGTTAAACTGTCCCGCGGTATGTATAACCGATGTTAGTGATGTTGTTTGCATTGTTGGTGATATTGATAAATTTTCATTTTCTATTTTAGGAACAGAAAACTCAGTTTTAACTGTTCCTGATGATATCGCTGATGATGATATTTGTACTTTTGTCAGATATGGTTCTTGATGATCTGTTATTACAGAAGAAAACATAAAACAAATTTAAATTATTATTCAAAACAAGTTGTTATTTATTCAAATACTTGTCTGGTTTTGTTAAGGTTTACGTGTTTCATACCTGTAACCGTCTGCGTAGTTATACGATGACTTTTACGAGGACATCCCGTCACGTGGTCACAATCTCCTAGGGAGCACGTGCAAATTCCAGCGCAGCCTTCACCAAATTTTCCTCGTGGGCAAACTGCATCACAAAGTTTCCCAAAGTATCCGGGAACACATACTACAAATAATGATTACTACTTAATTGAAACTTGTTCTTCGTAGATATTTAAAATGTTTTATTAGATGATATCTATGAAAATGATTGGTGAAGTATAACTATAATTTGTGCAGAGTCTCTTTAGGCATTATTTCCTTATATTCACAAGTCACCACTAACCACAAGTGGAGCGCCACAAATAGACCTGTTATCGGCACTTATGCCTTTAAGAAGTACTGATAAGGAGCTTAGAGATTCCCTAAAAAATGTCAAAACCCTCTGACCTACCAAATGAATATATACATGTATAAGGTCATAATGGAAGATGTCGCTACATTGTATTTTGAAATTTTTGCATCTTACTTTGAACTTTTAAATTTTGTGTGTCGGAATAAAAAAAATTAATGCTGCTTCATTTCCGTAGATCGAAATTGAGGGTGTTTTAAAGTTTTACGACAGATATAATCTTTTGAAATGTACTAATGTACAAAACCGACCTCAACGCATCATATGTACAAGGCCTAAATTAAAGAATGAAGGTCTTTTCTTCAATCAAGGAAAAGAAACTTAAGTTGTCAATATAAGTCAGTCATTCAGTCACATTTCAGTAAAACATTAGTTAACGGAGTGTCAGTACTAGAAAAAGAATGACAACTGAAAAACATTTTCAGATTATAACGTAGAACAATGTTTCATATTGAGAAAAAAAATTGGCAAAATATCTATTGCAAGTAAGTTATTTATAAAATATGTAAAAATCACATTGTAACTAATTTCTATAAGAAATACCCTTTTGCGCAATATTTTTTGCAGTAATTAGTTAAAAAGACTCATTGAAGGAGGATGAGATAAGGTGTTCTAGTGTTGAAAGGATTATGGAAATAAATAGGCCAATTGATGGGTAAGCAGGCTATCAAAATACTTTAGTTATTGCATTAAATTAAAAGAAAATATAATGACAAACCAGCAGTAAAATATGTATACATATAGGCTTGCATAACAAAATCTTACAGTTACAGTCCCCATTTTCGTCTTTGTAATAATTAGTACAGCATGAAGATTCTGCTATAGTTCTGGAAAAAAAATAAAATGCATTTCTTAAACTAGAAAAATTACACTATTGGAATTCTAGATAACTGAAGCACTTATATATTCAAAGATCCCAGAATAGCAATGGGATTTATGTCTGCTTTTTCATCCTGTTTAAAGAAATGTATTATGAAACATTGTCAATTAAACAGCATTTCTTCCTGAAATTATACTCAATTCAGGAGTGTTAGGTATATGAATGTCATCTATTGTTCCTTATATCGTGTATGTTTGCTTGTGGCCATATGAAAGTACACTGCCTTTGAAAATTTTTTTTGCAGTTTTCTTACCTGTTCAAAACACAGATATCTCTACTTATAATGTTGGAAAAAGAAAACACTAAAATCAATCCAAAAAATCGTACCACATTTTTGAATAAACACATATTAGAATTGTATTCATAAACTTAACTCCAGGAAGGATTGACAACCACGATTCACAGGAAGTCGAAAACTATCTAAATGGACATTTTTCCTGTACCGATTTATTTATGTTTTCAGTATAATTACACCATTCTCATGTCATTGCCATTCAATCAATTGAAACATTCAACTAATCACATTTTACAAAAGTTCATATATACCGGCAAAGTATATACTTTTACGGGATTAAAATGACATAGTTCACCGCTTATTTACCGCCTGTGATTGCTTTTTTATAATGTTCTTTTTAAGACTTTTTTCCACGTGTTAGAATGTATACCCTCCGCCTTCCTAAATAAGGAAGCACATGTGCACTTAAATCATGAATTCTCCAAACTTTTAAATCTTTATCGTCCATTTTATCCAATGCTGTATTCTTCCATTGTTAACCTGACAGCAACAAATCAAGGAGAAGTTCAAGCAGCATTTAAATGAAAATTTATCAGATATAATTAAAAGAGAAAAGAAATACACTCGGATAAAATTTAGGGCTGGTGTTGTCACTGTCTTCTCAAGGGCGGAGTTTTTCATAAAGGAAAAGTCTCCTTTTTGATACGTTCTACATTTCTGCTTTCATAAGTCTCCAAAACGTTACATTGATGACACAAACCCGTTTATCTCCTTTTGTCCTGGAATAATGAATACTGATCTAAAAAAAGAGACGAACCACATTGGAATAATATCAACAGTTTTGATTTTTTTTTCTGTTTTGATTAAGTAAATATTTCAGCAAACGAATTTTAATACACCTCAATTTAATTTATGTACACTTTAAACAATTAGAATTTACAAAAAATAAGCCATTACCATTTGCACTGGTTTTGATTTTTTTTTCTTTTTGTTAGTCTCTTCAATTTTCAACTTTTTCATACAACATTTCCTCACGATTATGAAATTCCTGAATTTTTGACATAATTGTTTTTTCATTATCATGGAGCAATTAAATTTTCTTACCTTGCAAATGGTCACTTGCAAAATTACTTTGCTAAAACCTTTTGGTTGTACATACATGAACTTTAAAGTTGAAAATAAAATGCTCGCGTTTCTGATTGACAATATATCAACACTTAAACGAGCCTGGTCTCGGATAAGTGAGTTTATTTCAGTATATGTAACCCTATGTCCCTCCATTCCGGATACCGTTTCAGATATATAACTATATTCACCCTTAGTCAGCACCTATCATTCCCTATAATTTAGGTCCATTTCCATATAGTGTAATATTTAGTCGCTTCCTTCTCTTCCTTTCTCCATGAATCGATAAAAGGTAAGGTCATGGGAAATTTAATGAAGTTAAATTGTTTCAATTTTTGAAATGAAATAAGTTTGATTTCAAGGGCAATTATTCATGTTTGTAATTTTAAGCCAAATTAGACATGCCGATAAGGTAATTTTACTTTGGATTTGGCCCGGGATTTTTGTTAAGATCAAACGTCGATTGTATATGATTGAACTTACACAATATGGTATAATGTACAATCCCCGATTCTCTACTGGCGGGTATTTAGGATGGGATGTCAAGCGCAAAAATATTAAGTCGGTCATACTAATCCGTTTTCAGTTTTGTTTTTCCAAAAATGTTATAAAGCCTGAAGCAGGTATTTACACATTTTCCAAAATTTAATAGTCCTTAAGCATGTTAAATAGCATTGACTACAGAACATTCACGAGAATTGTATCTCTTTCACTTCTGCAGTAATCAAATCACTGAATGTACTGAAAAGATGTTGTTTAATTTCATCATTGTTAGGAGTCATTTTCAGTTTGGTATCGTTCAATTTATTTACTGGTCTATTGATCATTTTGATAAAATGCATAAAGGCATACACGAAGAATATTTTACCAAAAAAGGTCCTATGTTTATATGAATTGATTTCCCTCTAACGAAAGGGGAGAGAGGGGTCTCTAAATGATGATACTCAACAGTGAAACCATGAGAAATGTTGTTGTCATCCTGGTCACTGATTGTATAAAGTAACAAATTTTTGATTTATTTTTTAGAGTGAGCATTTTGTCTCAGGGTAAGCCGTCAAAGGCTCAACGCACAACAACGCTGTCGGAATTTGGCTTCATTAATCTTAGTGTAAAAAAGTAATAGTTAATCACTAATATGCCTTAGAGTACACATGATTGTTTCAGTCACAAGCATGGACCAAATTATCTTAGTAACAAGAGGCCCATGGGCCTTATAGGTCACCTGAGCATTATGCAACAACTTTATAGTGATTGAATTTGATTCATGTTTTAAGCCAGATGCTCTGTGGTTCACAATTTGAAAGAGGTACCATTGATCATCATAACAATACACTTAGCAATTGCTTAGTTTGTTTACTTAGTACCCATAGCCAAGGTAGGGGAACAAAAATGCATTTCAAGTAATCAGTAATATTTAGCAATAATCAGAAATGCCCCTATCACACATGAACCCCTGATCCTTAGGTCTAGATCCACACATTGTACAATTTTTGAAAAGGCACCCTTGCTTTTCAAAAATATTTGATTAATACCAAGGAGCAGATTTCAAACAATTCATCCAGTGTCAGTATATAAGTACAGCCCCCCCATGGTACCCCTGACCCTGGCGCCTTGAAATTCACAATTCTGGAAGTTTGGGCCCTTGCTCATCATAACTATATAGATTGATCATCTGCTTAATACCCAGGAGAAGAGAAGAAACTTTCAAAGATTTTATGTATTTGCACCATATAATTAATAGAGCCCTGCCCTATCAAGAGAACCCCTGACCCTAGGGCCATAAAAATCAAAATTTTGGAAGAGGTATTCTTGCTTATCATAACTATCTTCTTAGTTTCTTTAATTTCTAGGAGCAGAAAAGATTTTTTTTTCAAAGAATATATGTATTTTCACTATATAATCGATAGAGCCCGCCTTAACACCAGAACTCCTGACCCTGGGGCCATAAAATTCACAATTTTGGTAGAGGAATTCTTATTCATCATAACTATGTACTTAGTTGGTTTAGCTAATACCCAGTAGCAGAGAAGAAGATTTTCAAAGAAATAATGCATTTTTACTATATACTTATTCAGCCCCGTCCTAGCACTAGAACCCCTGACCTTGGTACCATGAATTTCGAAATTTTGGTGGAGTACGCAATGCTAATTACAATCATACAAGCAATTTGACTGCTTGATGTCCAGGAGTAAAGAAGAAGATTTTTAAAGATTGCATTAATTTTAGCGGTTTTTGCCTCACCCCCAAGCCCCATGGGGGGCAGTGACCATGAAATTCACAACTTTTTCCCCCGTCACCCATAGATGCTTTGTGCTAAATTTGGTTGAAATTGGTTCAGTGGTTGTAGAGAAGAAGCTGAAAATGTTCAAATGTAACGCACGACGCACGACGACGGACGAAAACAGATAGCAATAGGTCACTTGAATTTACTCAGGTGACTTAAAAAGCGGAACAAATTGTATTAGTACAAGGCGTAAGATTCGCAACTGGGTAAGGTTAGTACTAGGTTAAGAGTCGCACTAGGGTAGGAAGCTTTAACTATTATCTCAGAATGTCACAATCTTCATATTGGTCCTTTTAAAAACAAATTTCAATTCACACATTGATAAGAAAATAAATCAACCTGCTCAGACTGAGTTGTAGAAAACTTAATAGGAATGACAGGGCCGCAAAATGAAACTTGTAGATAGTCATTTTAGATAGAGATATGAAGGATTTCAATCCCTATTAGGACCAAATTCTCTTCCCTTAAGTGCCCAAGTACATAAATGTCAAAGTACATAATACTCTGACATTATATTAAAGTACGCTGTTGTCAAAAAAGATTGCCCGGGAGAAAGTAAAAAAAAAAGTTAACTAAGCAGTACTTACAATGTAATTAACAAAGATTACATTGGGGACAAGTTGTTTTGATTAAATAAAATTTTTAGAATAATAGAATATAATGAAATACTGCGATTGAAATATTTTCGAGACATTAGAAATAGTATGAGAAATAAAAGCATTTTCTTTTTTACCAGATAAGGTTTTTTTTTAAATTATTCTTTTTTTAAATTAACTTTAAATGGAGGAAAATAACTCTTACCAAAATCTAAGATGATAAAGTAGGACACATTTCACCTTTACATGCTAATGGTAATAAATGGGAATTATGTTGAAATAAATCGAGTATTCAACAGTAACATATCTTTAATGTATTAAATTTCAAAAACCTACAACACACTCTAAACTCTGATTTCTCAAATATTTAACTAATTTCATCATTCAAAATTGTTGAACATTGATCAATCTATTATCAGTAATACACAAGTGTTTCAATTTGCGTACCAACCTATCTGAACTAGCATGCACATATGACTGATGTATAAGAAGCATTGTTTAAGGTAGTTTTCAAGTAAGTTATAAAACAACTTAAAGCCCATAAAAGACATACCTCCTTTGCTTTATTATTGTCATGCATTACAACCTGTTTTACAGTACATACCCCTCAAAATGCACCAGCCAACAGATTGTATCTATGCACCAAAATACATAAATTAGCATATTGATGTTGAGTTTGCATCACAAAATCCCTTTATTTTTCATAATTATAGAAACTTTCAAATATTTATATACTGAAAGGATTAAGAAACGCATATTAAACTTTTGAGTTAAATTTAAAAAAATTATTTCAAATTGCCATTTTTATCATAAATGTTTTATCTTTTGGATACCAAAAGGCGATTTTTATAGCCAAGGTTACATACTAAAAAATAATCAGTAACAAACTTGATTTTCCTGTGCATTGAGTTCATAGAGGCACATGTTGTATAAAAATAGCTGATAGCTTTATTATTCCAAAGTCAAAGATTCCCGCGAATTTTCGATTTAGGATAAAGATACAAAGCTGATCTTGTGAATGTTTGTAAAAACGTATCGACAAATATTAGCTACATTTTTACAGTGTAAACACAAAAAATATTACGCAAACCCGTATGTGCGCGTTTTTCAGTAATCAAATAGAGCAAGTTTATGTCAGTTTAGGGTGAAAAAAGTGATTTATGTTTGTCTGCTGTATAAATATCATGATTTTGACAATAAAATTTTGAAAAATATGCCAAAGAGAGATCATTAACATGCACATTCTTACAATGTTTGAATTATAATTTGTAGTAACCAAAAAAAATACCAATTTTCGTAAGTCACAAGCAAAAATTTTCATGGGTTTCTTTTTCCTTTCATGAAATTTTATTGGTTATTGTCATCAAAGATAGTTTCTGTCTTTTGGACATTAAATTCATCGAAATTTTTGCAAAATTTTTTGAAAGAAAGTATATTCTTAAAATGAATTATACATTCGATATAATTATAGTCATATAAAATTTCGTGTGGGATTTAATTTCATTGAATATTAACAAAGAAATAAACGAAATTTAATCCCCACGAATATTTGTGCTTTTACAGTAAATAAAATTCATTGTTAGAATGAAGGCAACTAAGAATTATATGTCTTTGTTAGCGTGCAAAGACCTAGATTTAGTTAATAAGACTTATAGAGGCAAAGTATCAATTTCCGCATTAAAATACATGTACCAGTATATCAAATTCCATATGCTTATCAATCTAAGATAAATATGAAAAAGGTACGTACTAATTTAAACCAGATCCTTTTAATTTAAGACCTTCCTGAACTACCAAATATAGGTTTAATGTTAAGGGTATAAGCTTGATATAAATAACTTGTTCCATTTATCTGAGATAAAACTACTCTCTCCGAGGCGGTAGTTTTTAATACTCGCAATTCTCGTTTTGTTTTATATGAATAATTTGCCCTTTTGACAAGATGCAACGCAGCTAGTATAAGGCCACCCGTAAAATATCAAACTGTAGTAACTTCTCTTAACTACCTTGATATGA